ATTTGCTAAAGTATTATGCAATGGGAAAGTAATTTGGTAGATTTTTTTGCATAAATCCATTTGTAGGATTTCTCTCAAATTAATGAAAATATTTTTTTCTTCGTGATTATATTCTCTAACTAGAAAACTAATGTTATACTTATACGATCCACTAGCAATTTTNAACTTTTTAATATTTCAAAAATCCGCATATTTATATTTGCTATAGTATTATGCAATGGAAAAATAATTTAGTCGATTTTTTCGCATAAATCAATCTGTAGGATTTTTGTCAAATTAATGAAAATATTTTTTTCTTCTCTAACGAGGAAGCTAATTTTATACTTTTTTTGCATCAAATGCGTTGAATCTGTACGTTCCACTAGCAATTATATTTCCCGATCTAATTTTTGAGTTGTGCCTCTTTTGACGACGGTGTGCGATATGTATACTCAATAAAAATATGAATTGGAAAATCTACCACATCTTATTCAAATCTACCACATGTTTTTGCCGATTCTACCACACTAAAATAAAAAGGGGTTTGCACACTGGTAATGGTGCTTCTCGAAGAACGGGCCTCTTCGCATGCTTCAGTGTTCGCCAAAGGGAGTGCTCAGCAGTGTTGCCAAGCATGGGCTTTTCCTACCAAAACTGGTAGGTTTTTTCCCATTTGGTAGGTTGGTAGGCTTGATTTATTTGAGAAAAATAGAAAATAGAATTGGTTATTTGAGAAAAATAGAAAATATGTATCTCCAAACATTTTAGCAATTTTTTTTACATGAATATTTCACCGGTGCGTTCGTATAACGCCGGCCGCAAACATGATTCCTCAGTACAAACGTATACCCTTATTATTGCCAATATACAAAACGAACATCCATATATACTTATGGCGTACTTGGACCGAGATTCCAGGAAAGTCTGCCAATGGGCTTGTACCTAACCATATTCTGGGCGGAGGTCTTCGCAATCGAAGTCTGTGCTCGCGAATTTTATCGTAGGAGCAAATGAGGCCAAAATAAATATTATGTAAGATATTCAGGCAGCGTTAGAAGCCTTAGGGTCTTTTAAAACGGCATCAAGGCTTGTGAACTCTTGAACCACCTGGAAGCCCACAATAGCGTACCGCTGTGGAGGGTTCAGGGACATGAAGGGTTTGAAGGCAACGAAACGGCTGACTGTCTTGCAAAGAGTGGAGCCCAAATGCGTTTGCATGGTTCCGAGCCTTTTTGCGGTACATCTAAAGGATACACTGCAGACCTACTTAGGAGCTAGCTGGGAATTGCTGCACACTGTCGGAAGTCGAAGGGAATAAGACAATCAAAGAGATTCATAACTTTTCAGGAGGAACTCCGAAAGATACCTTGAACTTAAAACTCTTACTGGCTACCTGTCAGCACACTGCAAGTGAACTTACCGATTAAATTAAAGGGTCTTTCTGTAGAGACTGATGTAGGCTTTGTGGGCCGGTGAAGCAAACCCCAGAGTATATTCTATGTGCCTGTCCACGAAGCATGAATAGTTGATTGATGCACCTTTGAGAAGACAATCCTTCTCCATCTAAAATTTTCATCCAAAGTGCTGATCTTTTTAAATAGCCTAAGGTTGGAGCGATTACAATTAGGATTTAGCACAATATATCTTCTTAAGTTGCAACGCGAGTATCTCCGACGTAATAATAATAATATAGTCACTTGACACGAATAAAGACGGTCGGGTGTTTTGACGGCGAAAAAGGATGCGTGAAACAAATTTGCGAAAAAAGACGCGTTAACAAGGATTCAACATCATTCCGGAAAAAACTCTTTGGGGAATTCGTATACTCGCAAACATAGTTGACCGCGAAAATAAGTATTCTTCGTCTTTCTTCGCCGTCAAAGAGGTTAACGCGTCTTTCTTTGCCCTCGCCTATGTTAAGGGCCGGTTACTCAATGTCTGGTTAACACTACGGTTAAACATAGTTATCGACGATACCGACTCCCTGTTGTATGCATGGAGTCGAACACGTCGATAAATATGTTTAACCGCAGATTAATGTTAACCAGACATGGAGTAACCGGCCCTAAGACTCCTTCTTCGCCAAAATTTTTTAAGTGTCTTTTTTCGCGGTCAACTTTTGAGCTCGCGTCTTTATTCGTATCTAATGACGATATGTATGTATGTACAGTAAAATGAATCGTTATATGCAGTTAATTTGTTTTTATTGTACTAGCTGTGTTTTAGTTTTACTAAATGTTATGTTAGCTATGTTTTTAAAAAATTTGACATTGAAAAAAAATATATTAAAACTCAAAAAAATTTTTGGTAGGTTTTGGTTGGTTATGGTAGGAAAAAAAATGTGTCTGTGGCAACGCTGGTGTTCAGTCTGTTTTGAAGCAGACAAGGACTGAAGGATCGACTGCGTACTTCTTTCTTTTTCCACCTGCCAGTGATCGGACTTCTACCACATTGTGGTAGATCTGCCACTTTTTTGAGCATCTAGTACATCTTCCACACAAGGTCTGAAATCTACCACATATTCGCGGTTTTTGAGTAGTTTTATTTTGGCTCGATATAATTTTCTTAATTTTAAAAGCAAAAATTGTCCAACACTAAACACTAACAACAGGCAGAATGGGAGGATAAAATAAACATTAAAATAGCAAATTTTCTCAATATTCAATTTTTCGACAGGAAACATGGTTTTATTTTATTAAATTGCAAAATATATGATTTATAAAAAAGAATTAATAGCGAAAATGTTAAAAAAATGGCGATTTTTGTGAAAGTATTAGAAAATTTCAGTGCATCTAAAGTTTCTAAAGCGTTGTTTATTTTTACTTGAGAATTGTCAAAATCGGCAAATCCCAAGTAGCGGTTTCTGGACCGTGCCACATTTGTCCGCTCCATCGTGATGTGATAAATAGAAAAGCTGGCAGCACTCCGCAAGGTTGCAGAAATCTTTCAAAATATGTTCGAAAAATATCTTGATATGGAAGGAACCGCTTTACACTGTCAAGGAAAAAAATTGCCAATTTTTAGCAACTTCAATCTTGCACTTTATTATACTAAAATTAAGTTTTCTTGGATTCGAATTATAATGTTTACAATTTAGGTGAAACATTGCAGAATATTTTTAATTTTTGTACAAAGTTTGATCCAAAACCTGATATCTACCACATTTTTTTGAAATCTACCACATTTTTTTGCAGATTCTACCACACAAATTTTTTTTCAAGTCCGATCACTGCCACCTGCAACAAAATACGCAATTCCTTTGTACACGCATTCAGCTCCTGTTTAAGCTTCGGAGAGCGAATTCTTTGCCGTTCCCTTCTTAATTTGCGCTTTTTACTTATTAAGTTATGAATGTTTGAGGTGTGTAGGCCAGGGCAGTAAGAACTGCGATGTTTAATAAAGGGATTTGGGGTTACAATTTCTGCGGCCTTAACTATTATATCAGTGATATGTTCAGCTGCCCTGTCGATATCATTCTTGGTCCGAATAGGAATTTGCGGGTCAATGTGCGAACTGACATATTTTTTGTATTTTAACCAGTTTGTGTGCTTATTTGGAAGATTTTTTTGTTTTTCTTCATAATTAATAAACATTGATAATGTTATGAGGCAGGGTGAATGATCTGAAGAGAGATCAAATAAGGCTTCAGTATTAACTCGGTGTCGCGCAATACCCTTTGTTACACCAAAGTCAATGAGATCGATTGGTTTTTGGGGGTCAGATGGCCAATACGTTGGCTGACCAGTAGACAAGATGTCAAATCCTCTGTTCTGGATTACTTTATACAGATTCTACCCTTTGGTGTAATCAATCTAGATCCCCAGAATGTGTGCTTGGCATTGTAATCTCCTGCTACAATAAACTTACTGCCAAACTTTAGGAAAAAGTCATTAAATTGTTTTTCTGTTATGTTATGACGAGGGGGGCAGTATATAGCAGATACAGTAAGGCCTCCCAAGTGGTCATCAATGTGTATTGCAGCGTTATGAATGAACTCATCACTTTGCGATTCTAATTCATAGTGCTTTATTCTGTTACGAATGAGAATAGCTTTTCCACCTCGGGCTTTACCTTGTGGATGCTTAGTATCATAGAATTTGTACCCATTAATTTGAAAGTTATTAAACTGCGTAAGGTGGGTTTCAGATACAAGCAAAACGTCTATATGATATCGCTCTAGGAAAATTTCTAGTTCGTTTTTATGCTGGGTTATCCCGTGCGCATTCCAAAAACAAATTTTGAGATTATTCATGGTTTACCTAAAATGGCTTGAAGTAATAGATTTTGATTTTTAATCAAATCTTGACCCATGCTTTGCATTGCCATCATTTGCTCCTGCATAACTTTCATAAAGTTGTTTATACACCCAGAAAAATATCCTCGATTTTTAAGTAACACGATCCATGTTAAATTCACATGAAACAGTTGTACACACGAAACAACAACAATTTTTCCATTTTAACATGATATTTTTAACAGGAAAAAAGTGTTAAGAGTAACATGAAGTATTTTTGGTTAATTTACCAAGATATAGTGTTAAATTTACATGTGAATAGTGTTAAAAATATATGGCAACGTGATTCCTGTTTGTTGCAACCTGAGTTATTGTAAAATTTACATGAGGGTTTTTTTAAATAATGTTGATTCAAACACATAAAGTGTTAAATTTACATTTAGTTGATGTTAAAAAGGTCTGGCAACATGATTTCTGTTTGTTTTGACATGAGCTATTTTGAATTTTACAGGGTATGTGGTTAGAGATCATAAAAGTACCGTAATATTTTATTTGCGTGCGCGTTCTTCGTCATTCGGTTGCATTTTTATTTGGTGTATTATTTGTGAAAGATTATTAAAAAAAGCTATTTAAATATTAAGAAGAATGGGTACAGAAAATGTCTTTGGGGAATCGGCGGGCATATATTTCGTTGTTGATGGTGATTTAACCATGGGGAATGAAGTTGAGACTTCACTGCAGCAAAGCCAAGCCACTGAAGCTTCACGTGAAAAGAAAATTTGAAAGACGTCGTATGTGGTAAAATGAACTTCAGTGAAGAAGTTTATCAAAGAATTCTCGGTAAGTTCTTTGAGAATCTGCGAGGAACCATATGCATATTTATGTTATTGACAGATTGCGGAATGGATGTAGAAAGTCTGTATTTCATCAACGATGGGGACATAAATGAACTTTTCCCTGCATCAATGCTCGGAACGAGAGTAAAGTTTAAAGAAAGAGTTGCACGTTGGCGACAGAATGAAGTAAGTAAATCATTTTCACATCAATGATAAGCTTTGCATACTTTTTTTATTTAAAGGCTGATACCATTTCGTCAATAGGATCATGCAAGAGTTGGATAAATTCTAGCCAAGAGTCTCACGACTCGATAAGAGACATGGAAGCAAAGAATTTAAAGTTAATACTTAATGCCACTGAAAGAGGTCAAAGCATCTTTAAACAATATAGAGAAAAGACCGTGCTGTCAGATGTTAGTCGTGACATTTTGGTAAATACCATTGTTGACCACTTCTCAGCGCGATCAGTGCCTATGACAATGAAAGATATCATCACCTTTTCTGAGCAAATAACAATTTTATTTCCCAACGAAGACATGGTATGTATGCATTTTCATATTCACTTGCTATCAAAATTTGTAAATACATATGTAAAGGAGGATCAAGTTTCAAGCGGATAAAAAATAGCACTGATTTTTAATAATTTTTTAGCTGACAGATTTTTGCCCTTTTTTCCTTATAAGCATGAATTTCTTACGAAATAAAAAGTGGAAGAAAGTTCGAAACTCTGATTTATATGGTTTTGGCTAAAGCTTGGATACAATTTTTATAGAAAAATAACAGAATAAATTTAGCTTGAAAAACGTTGTGAATATTAAAAAAAAAAATTCAACACTTAAATGCATTTATTTTACTTTTATTTAGCGCTATTACTGCAACCGTCGAAATGGCAAAAATCCAACAGGCAAACTTTATGATAAGGCAACAAACATCCGAAGGAAAATAAAAAAAGAAACAGGAGCACTAAGCGTTGCACCTAAATGTCAACCCACTCAATCAAGTTTGTCGGAGCAGGCGAGCAATAGTAAATTTAATTTTACAAAAACGTACTTATCTATGTACGTGTATGTATGTATATACCACTATATTTGGCCCACAGTTTCGTGAGTATATTGATTGCTTCGTGGGTTTCGAAATTTTTTTGTTTTTGTCGCACGGTGCAATACCTACACGTACATACATACAAAAATAAGTACATACACATGTATGGAAAAACCATGATTAATATTTCCTTCGATTAGCAGATGAAAATGACTTAGCCATGAAAAATTGGCTTTGTCATAATGTAGAGCCTTGGGGCGATGTTGTAGAAAAATGGACGAACACAGTCAAATTAAGAACCGCAGAGATTTTAAATGAACACGCAAATATTTTAACTAATTGGCCGCTGCTGAAACACAGTCTTGGATACACTTTGGTAAGTTTAGCTTTATATATGTACCTATTTTAAATTTTCTTATTTATGATATAAAACTTTGGAATTTGTATATTTTCAATTATACTGCAGGTTGAAATTGATTTTGAAGCGAAATTTCCCAACTGTTCGCAGAATTTGCTAAACGAATGGCCAAAATTTAGAAAGTCAATTATACCTTACATGAAGACAAAAATAAGAGATGCAACGTCCATTGATATGCTAAAAAAAATTGACGAAAACATCAGTACTGGTAAAGCAACAAGTCTAATATTTATTTTTTCAAGTATTTATTTTATTTTCTTATGCAGACTCAATGGATTGTTTATTGACACTGCTTTTGCATGCGATACTTAAACCGTCATTAATTTCCGTTGGACAAACTTCTGGTGAAAAACGGCTTAAATGGAAGCCATCAATATGTGATGCGCAAGCAGTGACATTGCTGCATTCTGCAATTCTGTATTACCTAGTACTTTAAGCTTTAAATACAATTCCGATTTTCAAAGAGAATATGAATTATCTAATTATCAATTTTATTCAAAAGTTACTTTTAAAGGATTTTTATTTAAAAGAGGGTTTTTTGTTATTGTAAAACAGGAGGCTATATACTTGTTTCAAATCGAAGATATTGTTGTAAGTTTGATGCAAAAACTTTTCTTTATTTGTTCACAGTGGGAAATTATAAATTTCAGTACACATATTCAGTCATACTTGGTAGGTGAAAAATCAGATAGTTATAGTTTTATAAGTGCAGACAAAATTAGCTCACCTCCTGTACATATTCATATTCTTCAAAACAATCAAAAAGCAATCCGTTTAAAAAGTATTTAAAAAAAATTGATACAGTTTTTATGCAGAGCTTAGAAAAACTCAACAAATTTTTATAAAAATTGTGGACTTTTAAAACTTTCAAACTTTTTTGGGCATGCAGTTTTATAGCCTCTTAAATTTTAGTCTGATAAAGCGCAAGTTGTAAGCGGATAAAAAATCGCGTTGATTTTTAAAAACTTTTTCATTGTCAGTTTTTATAAATTGCACTTGTTGTATAAAAAAAACCGCAAAAGCCGTCAGCAATTTTTTATCCGCTTAAAACTTACGCTTTATCATACTAAAATTTAACAGGCTACAAAACTACCCAAAAATGTTTGAAAGTTTTTTAAAAGTCCACAATTTTTATAAAAATTTGTTGAGTTTTTCTAAGCTCTGCATAAAAACTGAAAGTTTGATTTATATAGTTTTGGTTAAAGCATAAACCATGTTTTCATAAAAAAGTAACAAAAAAAATTTAACTTTAAAAACCTTGCACATGTACAACAAAAATCACCATGGACTCAGTTTCGCACTATAGTGTATGTATGTATGTACATATGAAATTTTTGTGTATGAATTTTGTGTAATAAATAGATAAGTACTTAGTTTTTAAGTCAACAGTGTAAATATTTCAATTTTTTTAATAAAAATAAACTAAACAAATTGTTATTTATTTTGTAAAAGTAGGGACACAAGGTAACACGATGTCATATTAAAATAACATTAAAATATGGTTCTTTTAACATGAAGACGTAGTGTTATTTTAACAACAACTCCTGTTGATTCAACCAGTATTTTCATGTAGAATATCCTGTGAAACCAACCACATGCCTTGTTAAAATAAACCGATGTTTCAGGTTAAATTTACAGCACTTTCAATGTTAAATTAACAATTATCCAATGTTAAGTCAACAAGAGGGAAAAATGTTAAAAAATTTCCTTCATGTGAAAATAACATGACATATCGCGTTGAAAAATAATAACCACAAAATTGGTTAAAATTTGGTTGTTTTAACACGATTTTTTTTCTGGGTGTAGTAGCTTCTAGGTTACTACTATTCTGACCAAAAAGAGGTTGTGTTGGAGGAGTATTTTTAAGCATTTGTGCATATGAAGTAAAGTTATTAACAGTCATTGGCGCAGACATTGGCTTATCGGGTTCTGGTATGGGATTTTTTTTCTTTCATTGAGATATAAACTGGACAACATCTATAGTTAGCAGTGTGATTTCCACAGCAGTTACTGCACTTTTTAGATTATGGGTCCATTTTTGGTTTCACACATTCTTTAGAAGTGAGTATATCCCCACAGATAACACGGACACCAGGTAAGGTGCAGTAGCGACGTGTGTGACCAAATTCCTGGCAGTTATGACATTGAACAGGGCCTCTACGCTTATGGGGTTCTTCTACGGAGATTTTACGGTGTAGAAGATATCGCAATTGATATATTTGATGCACTTCCCCTTTCTTCAGATTGTGAAAGTCAGGTTCTAGCTCTATTTTGAACATCGGTTGAGGGATGTTTTCTTTATTTTTGATGTTGAAAACATTGCGCGCCTTAAAACCTTGTTCCCTAAGAGCATTTTCTATCTCTTGTGAGTTCACACTGGACTCGATGCCTTTTATGACAATTTCTAGTCCTCGACTACTTTTAAGTTGATAGGTGTAATAAGATTTCTTACACTTATCAAACTCATTGGTAATTTTGCGAAAAATATCTTCGCTTTGAGCTTGTATTTTCACTTCGTGTATATTACACTTTTTGTTAGGAACCACATGAAAATTATTTTTCCCTACTAGTTTTAGGAGAGTATCTACCAGAGCATTAGAACTTTGTTCTCGTAGATAAATAGGTGGAGGCTTGTATTTTTTTGTACCTGTTGGTTAGAATCATTTTATTCATATCATCGAGAATACTAAAACAATTATTCTCCGCCGATGTAGAAGTACCTGAACTGACTACTTTCAACATTTTATTTTTTGGGATTTGTTTTCCATTTTTTTCGGGTGTGCGCTTTCGCTTTATTAATATGTAGCGATCTAACCCAGTCTGAACAGTAGCATTTTTTGCTTGTTTTTCGTCTTCTTTGTTTGTTGCCGTCGAAGTATTAGCATCGGCAGCTGCGTTGTTGTCCGCATTGATCACTGCTGGAGAGCAAGAAGATGCTCTTTGCTTGGCTGCATCTGCTGTTTGTGATAGTGTGTTAGCAGTATAAGAGTTTTTTTTAGCGTTGTTGTTGCTGGTTTTGCTTTTTGCGCTGTATGCAGTAATTGTCAGATATGCATTTCTTTTGCTTGCATTGAGTGCCTGCGCTCCTTTAGGGGAGCGCCCTCGACACTCATCTCTCACTTAACTACCGGTTTGTATGTAAACAAATAATTAAATTATTTTTATACACACAATGTCGTATTGTTTATTAGGTATTTTTCGCGATCACGGTTTGATTTTTTATACTGCTGAGAGCAGTTCGCGGAGGATGGTTCCGTGCGCAGAAGTGGAAAACTTTTGACTGCTATTCACCTGGGAGTGGCCAGAAGCGATTCTTGTGCGTACGGTTCAAATCGCAGCTCACAACGTCCGGATATTTATATACACGTATCCTCTGGGTAGCAACCAAACACCCGTTTGGGAGCGAGCTAAAGTGAGAAGGCGTAAAACTTCGCGTGCGCTGGGTTTGGGTCCCGCCACGTTAAAACCCCGCCCAATGAAAAGAAACAAACAGCCTCGGATGAGACCCCCTTTTTCTGATGACGACCACGGCAAACGTATAAAGGACTATGATTTAAGGGTATGCACCTGGAATATCCGGACCCTTAATGGGGAAGGTGCCTCTGCCCGGCTGGTTGATGTCCTCGGGAAGACAAAGGCTGACATCACCGCCATCCAAGAAATGCGATGGACGGAGCAAGGAAAAGTAAGCGTGAAGCCTTGTGACGTCTACTACAATTGCCACGTAAAGGAGCGCAAGTTCGGTGTTGGATTCGTGGTAGGAGAGAGACTCCGTCGCCGAGTACTGGCGTTCACCCCGGTGGACGAACGTCTAGCCACAATCCGCATCAAAGCTAGATTCTTCAACATCTCGCTCATCTGCGCCCATGCCCCGACGGAAGAGAAGGATGAGGCGTCCAAGGATCTCTTCTATGAGCGCTTGGAACGTACATATGAGCGCTGCCCCCGACACGATGTCAAAATCGTGCTTGGCGATTTTAATGCCAAGGTGGGCAAGGAAGGGATCTTTGGCGCCACTGTCGGAAAATTCAGCCTCCACGACGAAACGTCCGATAACAGACTGAGGCTGATCGACTTCGCCGGGGCCCGAAACATGGTAATAGTACTACTAGATTCCAGCATAAGAACATTCCACCAAGCTACATGGCTGTCTCCAGATCGAAAAACGAGAAACCAAATCGATCATGTTGTGATAGACGGAAGGCATGCTTCAAGCGTTTTGGACGTACGTACACTCCGAGGGCCAAACATCGACTCGGACCACTATCTTGTTGTAGCCAAGATACGCACCCGCCTATGTGCAGCAAAAGATGTGCGCCCAAAAATGCAAGGAAAGCTTAACGTCTAAAAGCTGCAATCACAACAGACGGCAAATTTATTCGCCTCTCGATTCACACACTTGCTCTCTGAGAGCACTCTTCAACAATCCGACGTACGCGAGCAGTGGAACCACATTTCCCGATCATTAAGTACCGCCGCCGAAGAAGTAGTTGGATTTCAGCGAGCCCGAAAGAA